AGACCTCCACCATCACCAGGTACGTGTCCTCTTCCCCACACTCTCCCTTGTTACCCACACAGCGCCCTTCACCTCCGAAGTACCACCTTCGCCCTCACCTCCCCTGCACCCTCATGCGGCCCGGCTATGGCCRCCAGTGCCCTGCACGCAGGCAGCGCCCTACCGCCTAGCGCTGGCCTGCCCTGTCTTAGAGCAGCGCTGCTCTGCATAGCGCTGCACACTTGCATCTGCGCAGCGTGCCCGCATATGCCAGCATTGGCCAAGATCCCTGCCCACTCGCCCTGCTTGCCTATATGCCAGTGTTGCGTGTGGGCGGCCTCCCTTCAGCCTGCGACTGGGCCCCAGTGCCTGAACCCAGGCCCGACACAGTTGGGGCCCGGGAGATGCAGTTGCGCCTCTTTCATCAAGGCCTGCGGCCAGATTCAGATAGTGGGTCGGTTTCCCATTGGCATTTTCGGCCTCTATATCCAGCATGCATTGTCGGCCTCACGTTTATGTGCCCAGGGCCTAACCAACTCAGAGGCCCTGGGATTTCCGCATTTGCAGAGGTCCGAGACTCGGTGCACTCCAACCAACTGGCGTGCTGCAACTGTATGGACCCCCACTTCGTGAAATGTTTGCACAGAGGGCTCTTGTTGATTTTCTGGCCCGCCTTCACTTAGGGCGGTCACAGATCTGGCCCGCCTTCACTTAGGGCGGGCACGAGGCTTGCTGGGGGCCTATGCCCAGAACATCTGCATGTCGGCTAGGCCCCTCTGAGGGCTCAATCCTCACACACTCTGAAACATCAGCATAATCTCTCCCCGAAGAAATAATGAAACTGGAGATGAATTCAATTTTGGAGTAGAAAATGTAGACGTGTTTGGCGAACAAAAAAGGATTAGAAGAGCCATACTAATACTATGTGCGCGGGATATAGTAGTTGGTAAACTCATCAGGCTCATAATCTGAATGTTGTAGGTTCAAATCCTACTCCCGCCAATCTTCCACCAATCTGTTTCACCAGTCAACCTACCGTCTTCACCCGAATAGAACGCCTGGTCATTTGGAGTGTATCTGGACTGGAAGTTCTGCCAAATACAGCTATAATGACCGGGAGTTCTATTCGGGTGAAGACGGTAGGCTAGTGCAGAGCTGCAGTAGCAGTGCAATACAAGATTCAGTGCCTCCCAGCCACCACTGCTGGCCTCCAAGGCCGGCAGAAGTCCGAGTTCCCCAGGTAGCACCTGGGGAACTCACCTGGTCGTAGTCTTGTAACGAATGGCTTGGCTGTCCTTCGGGACGTCCGCTAAAGTTTGAATGATACAGAGAGCACAATCATATAGATTTAGCACAAAATGTGAGGCTTTACTCTAGCTGAGGACATCATAATGTGCCAATACATAAAAAAAACCTGGAGCGCACAAGCGCACGCCAGCATCGCCCTTCGGGACATCTGCTTGATTCTGCTAAAACTCGAACGATACAGAGAAGATTAGCACGGCCCCTGCACAAGGAAGAAGAAGGGAAAAAAAAAAGAAAAAGAAAAAAAGGTGGGTGCCCCTGCACAAGGTTTGTTCATTGATCGTTGATTTACTTATTTGTTTTCTTTCCCCCTCCTTTTTCTGTTTTTGCTAGGTTGTTTTTCCGGGCGCCCGGGCACCCAACTTATGCCCGGGTACACACCCAGGTGCTCGGCCAGGCATGACCCCCGGGCAGGGTTCCGGGCAGCCCCAGTGCAAAAAAAAAAATCAAATAAAAAATTCCGGGCAAAAAAAAATGTTGTGTAGAAGTGCAATACAAACGACTTTTGGCTGAGGGTCAAATTAGAATTCTTTCGCCATTTACTAAAGAATACCGTGGGCTAAGCACACGTAAGCAGCTTACGTGAATTTTTCACAGGCCTACCGGACTAGTCTGGGAAAAAAAAAAAAAAAAAAAAGAATTCCCCACAGAATCGGAGATAAAAAAGAAAATAACGGAATCATGCTAAGGCACCCCCCTTTAAAGCACCAGTACATGGGCATCTGGACCGCGGGCCTGACACCTCGAATTCTGGAAGCGCGAAACGAAAATGCCACCGCCGATCCAATTTATCAACGGCAGGCCCAGCATTTGACGTTTCGGCCTCGCTCGTTTTCTTGTGGTGACAAGTTTCGGACTGCAAGGCTGGGACCGTGTACTAGTAGTTTAAACTTCAAAGTTTAAACCCCTTTAGCCCCTTGAAAACCAATTTATACCCCCCTTCCCCCCCCTTGAAAGCCAACCCACAAAAAACGAAATGAGCCCGGATTCGGGAGAGCGCAGAAACCCCCCCACGCCCCCCAAAAACAAACAAACAAACAAAACAAAACAAAACAGTTTTTAAAACTTTTTTTTGCACGCCCGGATGCACGAAGCAGCTTTACCTCTACTGCGGACAATGAACCATACTTGAGATGAGCCAATCCAACAATGAAACAGTTTTACCTCTTTGTGTGTGTGTGTGTGTTGTCATCTATACACAACTCCTGGACTCCACAAAAAAAGGTGCCAGACCATTTCATCAGACTTTCACCGACTCATCAGCAGGTTGAGCTCCGACAGTCTGCCCGAGATGCATTGGACTTATGGATAAGAACTCGCCATGTCGTGCAGAGTTAGAGATACCCCTGAGAAAAGAGGTCGATTTTAATCACACCAAGCCTGCAATCCTAGCTGCCGACCCAAACTCCTGATAAGAACAGCAGCAAGTCTGAGAAACTAATCTGTCACAGCCACATAACCCACTCTACACACCCACAATGACACGACTGCCGTCACGGTCCTGACCCTAGCCGTATCGATCCGCCTGAACGGAGAGCTTAGCAAGGCCAAGTTGTGTGTTGTCATGTATGCCATACACAAAGCAAAAAAAAAAAGAAAAAAGAAAAAAAAAAGCACAAGTGTGTGTGTGTGTGTTGTCATGTTCACTATACACAACTCTCGAACTCCGCAAAAAACAGCATGAGTGTGCCAGACTGTTTCATCGGACTTTCACCAACTCATCAGGAGGTTGAACCCCTGATGTGTGTGTGGGGTGTGTGTGTTTGTGTGTGTGTGTGTGTGTGTGTGTGTGTGTGTGTGTGTGTGTGTGTGTGTGTGTGTGTGTGAGTGCTTGGAAAGGAGAAGAGAGGTAGGTATTACCTGATCCTTAAGCCGAGGGTAAACAATCTCCAGGAAGTGGGGAACCACCTTGTCGTTGAGCTCGAAGGAGATGCTCACTCTGACCTTGTGAGAAGTTGCCTCCTTGAAAATCTGAAAGAGGGAAAATTTCAGGAATTTCAATTTTGACTCCTTTTTAGGAATTAATATGACAATCTTGACAAGAAAAAAACAGTGTGAGTAGAATGGATTGACTTCACAAAGCAAGTTGCCGTTCTCTAGGACAAAGTTTGAAAAGAAATCTGCCAATGAAACCTCCGATTTTTTCGTATTCCTAATCAATCAATCAATCCACCACCATCGGCACCACTGCCACTGTCACCATCACCAGCACCTCCTCCTCGTCTTCGCCCTTGTTGTCATCCTCGGTCTCCTTCCCATCCTGGTCCTTGTCCTCTTTCTCATTCTTGTCCTTGTCCTAATCCTCACCCTTGCCCTCGTCCTAGTTTGCGAGAGGAGAGAGAGAGAGAGAGAGAGAGATTGCCATCGTCCTCAATCTCGTTTCTCTCACCTTTTTGCACACACACACACACACACAGACACACACACACACACACACAGAGAGAGAGAGAGAGAGAGAGAGAGAGAGAGAGA